CTGTAACTCTGGGGATCAATAAAGTATTATCCTGTCCTAAGTCTCAAAAGATGGAACATCATCATTTTAGCGACAACCAACTTCTAATGTTGACCCAAAATCTTTGAGACACCCTATATTTACATCGACAACGCTAAGAAACCTTTAGAAATCACCTTACACAAACACTAGCATTTCTTTGAAGTCGATAACTTTACCTAACAGTTTGCTTATTTTGCCTAAGACGCGAATTCTTCACAAAAATCCTTCAAAGCGGAACTACAAACTTCCGCACCGGCTCCGTCGGAACGTTATAGTGTGACACGCAGCGGAAGTAAACAACACAAGCTGACATTTGAAAGACTTTGTTTTTACTTGTAATATGTCGGGGATGTTTTCAGCTGAGGTTTTCAGAGAGTATGTGAATGATCGATTAACCGCTGCTGCTGAAGAAATATTCGGAGTCTTTAAAAGAACGATCGTCGATTATGAAGAAGAGATCGACCGGCAGCGCAGACTGCTGGACGTCGTTTCCAAACCTCAGATCAAGTTACACAGAACAGGTGAGGAAACAGGTGAGAAGACAGGTGAGGAAACAGGTGAGGAAACAGGTGAGGAGACAGGTGAGGAGACAGGTGAGGAAACAGGTGAGAAAACAGGTGAGGAGACAGGTGAGGAAACAGGTGAGGAAACAGGTGAGGAGACAGGTGAGGAAACAGGTGAGAAGACAGGTGAGGAGACAGGTGAGGAGACAGGTGAGGAAACAGGTGAGAAAACAGGTGAGGAGACAGGTGAGTTGACAGGTGAGGAGACAGGTGAGGAGACAGGTGAGGAGACAGGTGAGGAGACAGGTGAGAGTCTGGAGTCTGTTCATCCCCATCATGTCTCTTTTATCCTGTTTCTGTTTCCTCTCTTATAAACTGATGATTCCTCTTCATGTGTTACTTTAATTAACAAGCTTTGGTTTTCACAGCAATAATGATAATAATGATAATAATATGATGATAATAAAATAATGATAATATAAAAATAATGATAATAATATAATAATGAAAATGATGATAATGATAATAATGATGATAATAATGATAATAATGATAACGATAATGATAATGATGATAATGATAAAAATAATGATAATAATGATAATAATAATGATAATAATAATGATAATAATAATGATGATAATAAAAATAATGATAATAATAAAAATAATGATAATAATGATAATAATAATGATAATAATGATGATAATGATAATAATGATGATAATAATGATAATAATGATAACGATAATGATAATGATGATAATGATAATGATAATGATAATAATGATAATGATGATAATAATGATAATAATAATAATGATAATAATGATAATAATGATAATAATAATGATGATAATAATAATGATAATAATAATGATAATAATAATAATGATAATAATAATGATGATAATAAAAATAATGATAATAATAAAAATAATGATAATAATGATAATAATAATGATAATAATGATGATAATGATAATAATGATGATAATAATGATAATAATAATGATAATAATAAAAATAATGATAATAATAAAAATAATGATAATAATGATAATAATAATGATAATAATGATGATGATGATAATAATGATGATAATAATGATAATAATGATGATAATAATAAAAATAATGATAATAATAAAAATAATGATAATAATGATAATAATAATGATGATAATGATGATAATAATGATAATAATGATAATAATGATAACAATAATGATAATAATAATGATAATAATAATGATAATGATAACAATAATGATAATAATGATAATGATGATAATGATAATGATAATAATAATGATAACAATAATGATAATAATGATAATGATGATAATGATAATGATAATGATAATAATAATAATGATAATGATGATAATAATGATGATAATAATGATAATAATAATGATAATAATAATAATGATAATACATTTTATTTATAAGCGCCTTTAAAGTCACACAAGGACACTGTACAACAATCAACATTTAAAAAACAACGATGGATAAAATCAGCAAACAATAAAATAAATGAAATGTAGGACAGAGTAATCACAGGTAAAAGAGACGGTTGATGTTTCGTAGGTGGAAGTATGCAGACCTGTTGTTGATATGGGATTTGATTGATAGCATGCTGTCGAGGATGACACCCAGACTCTTAACCTGAGGGGGGAACTGAGGAGCTGTCGATAGTGAGGGAGAAATAACACATGTAACACTCAGTAGTACACTTAGTGCACATTGCTTTGGTTTACATTTCACCTTTTGTACATTTTGTGTTTTTTATTTTTTATATTTTACATTTTTAAATTCTATTTTATATATTGTAATATCTTCTTATTCTGTATTATTTAAGTTGTTTCTAGTTCTGCTTTATTTCCTTGTTAATTGTTTAGCACCAACACACAAAGTCAAATTCCTTGTATGTGTAAATGTATTTGGCAATAAGTCAAAGTCAAAATCAACTTTATTGTCAATTTCAAAATATGCCAGACATACAGTGGAATCAAAATTGCGTTTATCTCCGTCCCACGGTGCAGTACAACCAAAATAAGGTAAAATCAAATCAAATAAAATAAGATAAATAATATTTACAGTAATAAATTCTAAATAGTGCAAAAGGTACAAAACAAATGGTAAATAAAATAAAATTTAAAGAAAAAGTCAACTTAATAATAAACTTAATAAACCCTGATTCTGATTCTGATTTAGTGTGTTTCCTGCCTTGCCTGTTGACAAGCAGCACCTCTGCCTCTGCTCTCAGTGTGTGAATGTGTAGGTGTGACCTGCAGCATTAAAGCGCTTTGAGTAGTTTTTATTATTATTATTGCCATTTAATGTGTTTCTGGTCCACAACTTTCACTGCCTGTTTGTATATTGAGATAAGAGGTTTTAATGTAGATTATGAAGATTGTAACGATGACCTGATGCAAGAAGACATTATGCAAAAAAAAAAATCATTGCATGCCAGATAGTTCTGCAGTTTAACACGACAAGTCAATTCATTTTGTTCTGTGTTTTTGCAGAGCTTCCACAGCAACATATCTGCAAAGAGGAGGAGGAGGAGGATCTCTCTGACCAGCAGCTCTGTAACCAGGAGAGGAAGTCCAGTCTGGACCAGGAGGACCCAGAGCCTCCACAGATTAATGAAGAACAGCAGGAACTCTGCACCAGTCAGGAGAGAGAGCAGCTGGAAGTGAAGCAGGAGACTGGAGACTTTTGGTCGACGCTTACGAGTGAGGAAAGTGAACACATGGAACCAGAAATTAAAAGTGAACACCATCTCCTCGCTCACAGCTCTCATGTTACTGATAACGAAGATCCTGAAAGCAGCAAGAATGGAGACTCGGTATCGACTACAAATCCAGAAAGGAGACTTCAAATGAGCACGAGTCACCTCGCTGAATCATCAGTGAACTTCTTTAATCCTGACGCGAATAAAAAGTCTTTCAAATGTGACACGTGTGGTGAAGTCTTTCAGAGTAAGTCAGACTTACAGACACACCTGCGCGTCCACACAGGTAAGAAGGTGCACACGTGCAAGAGCTGCGGGAAAATATTCAGTTTCAGGTCGATACTGATAACTCACATGAGAATCCACACGGGCGAGAAGCCGTTTTCTTGCGTCACGTGTAAGAAAGATTTCCGATTTAGCCACGCGCTGACGGCCCACATGAGAACCCACACAGGTGAGAGGCTGCACTCCTGCAGCACCTGTGGGAAGACATTCCGTCGGAGGTCAAACTTGAAAAGTCACCTTCAGATCCACACGGGTGAAAAGCCGTTCACGTGCCAAATATGTGGCAAATCCATCCGATTGAAAGGGGACTATAACATCCACATGAGGACACACTCAGGGGAGAATCCGTACTCCTGTGACACCTGTGGGAAAGGATTCTTTAAGAGGTCAGATCTGAACAGGCACGTTCGGATTCACTCGGGTGAGAGGCCGTTTACCTGCAAGACGTGTGGCAAATCTTTCAAAATAAAAGGCAACCTCACAGAACACATGAGAACACACTCGGGCGAGAGGCCTCATTGTTGCAGAATATGTGGGAGAGATTTCCGATCGGGCCGTATGCTGGAGTGTCACATGATCACCCACACAGGTGAGACGCTGCACTCCTGCAGCACCTGTGGAGAAGGATTCTCTCAGACATTGGACTTGATCAGACACATGCAAATTCATACAGGTGAACAGTCATTCACAGCCAACAGTGTTGATGTTGATTAAAATATTCATGATGATGTTGAACTCTGTGAACTTGTCGTCACCTGTGTACGATCATGAGATGTTTGTTTCCTCTCTGGATCCTCGCTTGTGTTGTTCTTACTCTCACATGTGAGTCTGCTAAAAAGGATTAAAGAAGTTAAAGCTGCAAATCTGTTTATTTTTTTGATGGAAAACATTCTTCCATGGAGACGGGGTTCACGTTGTTGATGTAATGCCATGAAGATGTATCACCATTTTTGTCCTCTGTATTACTGCAGTGCATTTATCATGTTTCAATATTAGACTTTTTTTTTTATCTCGCAAACTTCTTCAGTCATTTTGAAGTTTAAGCTGTGAAACCATCTAGAGGAGTTAGTTAAACTGATAAAAACTTGTGTGCACAAGATTTTTTTTGATTACTTTTTGGGACTTCAGGGGCTCCGTAGTATCATCTGACTTGTGCGCACAATATATTTTTTTAAATTGTTATGAAATGTTTTGGGACTTCAGGACTCTGTAGTTTGACAATAGATAGTAGCCGTAGCAGTTAGCATATTTATTGGTGATAGACAGAGGTGCTGCTTGGGGGCCTCGGGCTAGTAAAGGGATGACACACTTAAAATGGCTTAAAATGTGCAAGAGGGCCCCAAATAACAGCAATCACTGTCATTGCTCTGTTCATTGTTACGTGCATTAAACACCCTGTGAAAACTTATGTTTGTCAAAGCCACTGAAGAAAATAATAATAATAATCATTTATACTTTATTGATCCCGTGAGGGGAAATTAGGTTTTTTTTTGTTAAATGTAACTTTAAAATGTTCAAGTTATTATCCACTGAGAGTTCAAAAAAGCAAAACAGAAGAATAATTTTCCCCCTCCAAATGCTGATAATGGTAACTATTATTTATAACATAAAGGTGATGAATGTCGGTTGCAGGGCCCCAACATACTCTCGAACCACCGCTGGTAAAGATAAAAGATAAAGATGAACTTTATTGACATTTTTTTTTGCGTTACTACAGCTCAAGAAAACAGGAAACAGGAATAAAATGATTAATAAGAAGAAGAAGTTAAAAATCAAACATGTTTCCAAAAGGTAAATAAAGGCAGAAAAAATACAATAATAGAATAATACCAGGTTCCACTTGTGGAAAGATTTATTGTTATTAAAAACACAGTGTGGAGCATTATTGTGGTTTGATTATGGTGATAAACATGTGGTAACAAACAGAGATGTGTAGTGTGACTGTGGTAACTTTATCTTATTATTTAAATGTCAACATCGACTATTAAAAGAGCCTGAGCGATGTCTGTAAAGTTATTCAAAAATAAGAAGAATAAGACATTTGTACATTTGCAAGAAATGTTTAAGAAATGTTTAATAAAAACATAAAAAAATAAATAAAAAAATAAGAATAAAGACGCTTACTAAAACGTCATCATCCCGCGTCTTTGCGCATGCCCACAAGTGACGGCCCGGCCCCCTTCTTTCCCTTCCAGAAGGAGCGTGGTGAAGATGGCGGCGCAGAGCTCGACGCCGAGTGATCTTTATAAATGTGTTTATTCCTTCCTGCTGCAGAACAAGTTCACCAAAGCGGCGCAGCAGTTCCTCAAGCAGACCAAAGTGGTAAGCGGCTCCCCGCGCGGGCTTTCTCACGGTGCTCACGCGCTGTCTTCACCTCCAGGTGTTTGTGACGCGGAGGCTGCGCGAGCTAACGTTTTTCAGGTTAAAAAGCTCCGCGTGGAGCCTCCTCTGTACGGCTGCACGTGCAGGAGGAGAAGCACGTTTTCTTGATCTGAAATCAGTTTGAACTGAATTCTTAATGTTTTAATGTAGAAATACAATCATAGATTTACACTGAAGAGTTCATGTGACTGATTTTTATCTGTTTTTAAAACTTTCCTGGATGTCCCCCCCTGACCCCCCCCCCTCACCCCCCTCAGAGTCATTTCTTCATGTGTTTCTTTTATTCCAGACTCCACAGGATGAGAATGAAGAGAGTCTTGTCGGGATCTACAACTTCTGGGTGAAGTGAGTTCTCAGTTTTCTTTGTTTTAGACCACTTAGAAGAGACTTTTAAAGACCACCTCCTCAGGTCGGACCTCCTCAGGTCGGACCACCACCTCAGGTCGGACCTCCTCAGGTCGGACCTCCTCAGGTCGGACCTCCTCAGGTCGGACCTCCTCGTGCCAGTAGAGTCCCAGAGCACACACTGGACATGGATCTAGTTTCTAACCTGGATGTAGTGTAATAATATATCTATGCTTACCTTTTTAATTACATCAGATTAGGATTATTAATGGAGGACAGAAACTTTGATATTTTAAGCAATAACTCCATACTGGTCTTGTGGTGCCTGATGGTTCTAATGATGGTTCTAATGATGGTTCTTGTGATGGTTCTTATGATGGTTCTTATGATGGTTCTAATGATGGTTCTAATGATGGTTCTTATGATGGTTCTTGTGATGGTTCTTATGATGGTTCTTGTGATGGTTCTAATGATGGTTCTAATGATGGTTCTTGTGATGTTCTGGGTTCTTGTGATGGTTCTTGTGATGGTTCTTGTGATGGTTCTGGGATCTTATGATGGTTCTTGTGATGGTTCTTGTGATGGTTCTTGTGATGGTTCTTGTGATGGTTCTTATGATGGTTCTTATGATGGTTCTTGTGATGGTTCTAATGATGGTTCTTGTGATGGTTCTTATGATGGTTCTGGGATCTTGTGATGGTTCTTGTGATGGTTCTTATGGTTCTTGTGATGGTTCTTGTGATGGTTCTTGTGATGGTTCTTGTGAAGGTTCTAATGATGGTTCTAATGATGGTTCTTGTGATGTTCTGGGTTCTTGTGATGGTTCTTGTGATGGTTCTTGTGATGGTTCTTGTGATGGTTCTGGGATCTTGTGATGGTTCTTGTGATGGTTCTTGTGATGGTTCTTATGATGGTTCTTGTGATGGTTCTTGTGATGGTTCTGGGATCTTGTGATGGTTCTTGTGATGGTTCTTATGATGGTTCTTGTGATGGTTCTTGTGATGGTTCTGGATCTTATGATGGTTCTTGTGATGGTTCTTGTGATGGTTCTTGTGATGGTTCTAATGATGGTTCTAATGATGGTTCTTGTGATGTTCTGGGTTCTTGTGATGGTTCTTGTGATGGTTCTTATGATGGTTCTGGGATCTTGTGATGGTTCTTGTGATGGTTCTTATGATGGTTCTTGTGATGGTTCTTGTGATGGTTCTGGATCTTATGATGGTTCTTGTGATGGTTCTTGTGATGGTTCTTATGATGGTTCTTATGATGGTTCTGGGATCTTATGATGGTTCTTGTGATGGTTCTGGGATCTTATGATGGTTCTTGTGATGGTTCTTGTGATGGTTCTGGGATCTTATGATGGTTCTTGTGATGGTTCTTGTGATGGTTCTGGGTTCTTATGATGGTTCTTGTGATGGTTCTTATGATGGTTCTTATGATGGTTCTTATGATGGTTCTTATGATGGTTCTTGTGATGTTCTGGGTTCTTGTGATGGTTCTTGTGATGGTTCTTATGATGGTTCTGGGATCTTGTGATGGTTCTTGTGATGGTTCTGGGATCTTATGATGGTTCTTGTGATGGTTCTTATGATGGTTCTTGTGATGGTTCTTGTGATGGTTCTTGTGATGGTTCTTATGATGGTTGGGTTCTATATGTTTGTTGGGTATCGTGCACTTTGGGTTCTTTTCTGTTGAATTGTATTTAATTATTTTTAGTATTTAGTATTTGTTATGTTCTTGTTGTTGTTTATGTTCTTCTGTGTTTAGTTTAGTTTGTTCTTGTTTGTCAAAGCACTTTGTAAACCTGTGATTTTAAAAGGTGCTATATCAATAAAGTTATTACACTTTTTTTTGTGTGTTTTTGCACAAATTAAATTCTGAAGTCCTCTAACGTGAGGCGATCAGGAGGCGTCATAGGGCACACTCACTCACACCCAGTTGTCCCCTGAAGCACAACTCTTCTAACCGTGTAAAGGAAGTATACAGATCGGAGCGCTCACGCTGGTCAAACGAGCTGGTTTTGGAAAGTGAAGCGTGCTTGGGCACGATACTGATCGCTTAGGGCGAGTGCACTAATTTAAAGATTTATTTTTTGGGCGTTTTCTGCCTTTTTTATTTGAGAGCCAGGACAGTGGATAGAGTCGGTAATCAGAGAGAGAGAGAGAGAGAGTGGGGAGTGACATGCAGGAAGGGAGCCACAGGTTGGATTTGAACTTGAGCTGCCCGCTTGGAGGACCATAACCACTGGCTCCTTTTTTAGATGTGAAGGAACAGCAGCTCCTAACCCTGTCTCTAAAAACCGAGCTGAGCCCCCCTTCATTTCTATCCCTTTGACTCTTCCTAGGTCTCCTGAAGCTAAGAAAAGGAAAGCTCCTTCCAGCACGGCTGAAGCTACAAACGGTCCTTCAGCCAAAAAGGCAAAAAAGAGCCAAGAGACTTCCAGCAGCGAGGAATCGAGCAGCGAGGATGAAGAAGCAAAACCAACCAAGGCAGCCCCTGCAGGTAAAAATAATATATATAAAAATATATGACAGAGAACTGCTTGAGCTTTTAGCATCTGTCAGAAATTTACCATTTTGAATCAGTGTGTAGCATTTCTAATAGTTTTTTTCTTAAATGTCTATTTCAGCTGCCAAGGTTGTGCCTGCTAAAGCTGCAGCGAGCAGCAGTGAAGACTCCAGTGACTCTGAGGAGGAGGAGGCACCTGCAAAGACTCCTGCAAAGGTTAGAGAAAACATCCACATAAAAGATTCCTCCTGAAGCTACTCACTGGAATACGGCTCTGTTTGTGTTTTATTATTACTAAAATGAAGCTTCTTTGCTAAATTAAATCCTGGTTGTACATATTCTCGTTCTTAGTTTTGATATTTTTAGTACTTATTTACTTTGTATTTCATATTATATTGTGTTTAGATTTGCTTATATTGTGTTTTTTAACTCATTGTGTGTTGGATAACCTGCTGCTGTAACGCCACAATTTCCCAGTTTGGGATCAATAAAGTAATTCTATTCTATTCTTCTATGTGCAGACTCCTGTGAAGCCAGCTGCTGCTCCTGCTGCTGCAGCGAGCACGAGGAAGAAAGACAGCAGCTCCAGTAGTGAAGAATCTGACTCTGAGGATGAGCAGCCCG